TAAAAATAAAATAAAATCTTAACTTTAATTTACGTAATTTTATAACTCTTAAGTGGATGACTCAATAATTAAGAGTTTGCGACTTCAAATTAAATTTTTAATTTTTATATTTTTATTATTTTAAAAATATATAAAATATTAATTAAAATAAATATTAAATAAAATATATATTAGTTTCAACTAAAAATAAAATAAAATCTTAACTTTAATTTACGTAATTTTATAACTCTTAAGTGGATGACTCAATAATTAAGAGTTTGCGACTTCAAATTAAATGTTTTAAATTCAAATTTTGAGTCGAGTATGGAAAGATTTAAGGAAAGAGAAGGGATATCCATTGTTGTATAGTCCATCTAAATTTTATTTCATTAAAATTTAATTTAAAATTATCTTATTAAATATTAATATTTAAATTTAAAAATTGATTAAATTTATGAATTTTGAATTAAGATTTTAATTTTTAAATATAAGTTAAGACTCTAATTTTTTTTCAAGTCGAAACTAATATGCACTCATTTTTATCAAATATATTTTACATATTTTAAAAATATTTAAGAATGAAAAAACTAACACTTACAACTACATGCTAATGCTCTTAAATTAAGAATTGATATATATATATATTTTTTAAAAAAAGGGGTTTATCATGGCAGAAGAAACCAAAAGTTTTTACTGTTTTTGTCCAATGCCTTACCAAACAAGTTCAGTATAAAACAATAAAAAATTGCATCCACAAGAAATTCCAAAATTCTTCTTTTTGAATTTGTTTTATTTTATTTTTTTGAAAAGTTGCAATTTTCAATCTGCCTTTCAAGACTTTAACCCCATTTTTTTTTTTTTACAAGAAAATATACAATGCTAGATCAATATTTATTCGAAAAAAATCGAGTTTGAGACTCGACTTACAGACCAAAATACGTTATACTTACTTCTGACTTCAAAAAAATGTGACCGTCATTGCAGTCACACGAATGAATACTAACCCTATTACCCCTTAAACGGACTGCAGTAATATTTTTATGGAAGTTGAACTCAAGCCATGCTGCCCCTTGCGCACTAGTTGACACTTTCTCGTGTATGTGTGTGTTATCGGTTTTTCTTTTTCTTTTTCTTTTTCTT